TACATATAACAAACTAACATTTTAAAAAATATAATGAAGACAGACTTACCTCAAAATCCTTACTGAAATCTAATTTTTAGTAGCCTACCTAAGTGAAGTAAGTTCTCTGTGGAAAATTTAAAAATCAAGGGCTGGAGAGATAGTACAGCAGATAGGACAGCGGCCAAGCCAAGTTGGATCCCCCCTGCCCCACCACCAGGAGTGATCCTTGGGTACAGAGCCAGGACTAGACTCTGAGGACAACTGGGTTTGGCCCAAAATTTAAAAAAAAAATTGCAAGGGGGAGGGAGGGAACTGGACAGGGGCCTCCCTTAGTGGTGCTCAGCTCTTATCTTACTCCTGATTCTGTGCTCAAGGGTCACTCCTGTTGAGGCTCAGGAGGAGCCCTTTTGGGTGCTGGGGATCGGACTCAGGTTGGCTGCATGCAAGGCAGATGCCCTGCTCACTCTGCCATGGCTCTGACCCCCAAAACTGCTGTTTCCTAGGGGCTATAGAGATAGTACAGTGGGTAGCGCACTTGCCTGGCATGTGGCCAACCTGGGTTCCATCCACAGCATCCCGTGTGGTCCCCCGAGCACCACCAGGAGTAAGCAGCACCAGGTGTAGCCTCCCCTCCCCCCAAAAAGAAAATGACCCGTTTCTAAAAACAGCTATTCAAATTTACATGCATTTGAGGTGATAGCTTCGAAGGCTGTGTGCATGCTGTACATGCAGTGACCTGGCATGAATTCTTGGTACTGCATGGTCCCCTGAATCCGATGGGGCGGGGGTGGGGGGCAACCCCCCACAGACACACACACCCCTTCTGCTCCACCCCAAGTAAATTTTCACGGGGCTCTTTGTCAACAGAAATTGAATTATAGAACAGGAAGAGACTGATTGGGGGTCCTTTATGTGGTTTTGTGTCGGCCCTACCAGAACTTGCTGTTTTGCACCTTCTCAGCAGTGCTTGGGTTGCTCATGGGACCTTGGTGGCGCCAGGGATGAAACCCTGGCTGCCTGCAGGTCGCGCATATTCCTTGGTTGAGGTCTCTAGCCCCGCGTCAGGACTTCTCTAACCCCACTTCTATGCTTCCTCACAGAAGAGACAGGAGGAGAGGCCAAGGGGCAATGCAGTTATCACTGAGTCTGTGAGAACTCTGTGAAATGTTGCTAAGAATGACTTTTTGGCCCCAAGATATTTAAGGAATTTGTGAGTTTGATTTTCAGTTTCTGGTTCCCAGTTTCTAATGAACTTCCCCTCTCCGACACCCAGGGCCTCTGTCTCGATGGAACACACCGCGAGGCCAACTTTTATACCAGCCTCCAGGCGGGGAGCCCCATTTTCCTTCCAGAGTAGGCATAAGCTCCATAATCCTGGGATCTGCTTGGATCTGGACTATTGGCACATCCATCAGTTGGAAGCTGGCACCAGAAGCAGACACTTCGGTCTGTGACTGAGGGAGAACCAGGCTAGAGCAGAGGTGTCACAGAGTTTCAAGTATCATTTTTATAGGCGATGATAGGAAATGGCAGAAACCTGCCTTCATTGACGGTGCCGTGCTAATAGAGAAAAGGAGAGCGGGGATAAAATAGGTCCAATTTCAATATTTTGCTATCATAAAGACTAAACAGAGAAAAATAAAGATTTTCACCATAAAAAAATTGAAAAAAAAATTTTAAATGTTTTATAAAAAAAAAAAAAAGACTAAACAGAGAGTTTTTAACTCTTCTGATTTTGTGGCCGCGCTCAGCTTATTTCAGAAACCAGTGAAGTCTGTGGAGTACACTGTGTTCTCTTGCTGGCTGCTGCGAGTAGCCACCCTGAATTAATTAGAAGCAGCAGTGACGGTGTTGTGTAAGAGTGCTGTGTGATTGGTGACTCATTTTACAACACGAAGAATGTATGCGATCACTATTGATTTCATGATTGACATGAGTTACTGCTGCAAAAACATTGCTTTTTAAAAACTGCAGTAGGGGGCTGGTGCCATAGTACAGTGGGTAGGGAGCTTCCCTTGCACACAGCTGACCCGAGTTTGATCCCGGGAACCCCATATGGCCCCCCGAGCACCGCCAGGGGTGATTCCTGAGTACAGAGCCCCAAGAAACCCCTGAGCATTTCTGGGTGTGGCCTCAAGCCTCCCCCCCCAAAAAAAAACTGTAATCATAGCCAGTGTACTTTGTTTTAACATAGGGTGATTTCATAATATTTCAGTTGTACAGCTGATATGATCTATGCATAATTTAAATTGTAGCCCGCAGTAATATTCAAATCCTCTGGTCATTCTATGACAGCAGAATCAAAGGTTTGGCTCTAGGGCAAATTTCCTGACTTGTGTGTGACCCTGTTAGAGAACAGGCACTGTGTGAGTGGAGGAGTGAGCTCTGTGAGGTCGGTCCTGGGGAACTTCCCGCCAACCTGGGAGTCTTGTCCAAGCAGCCAGCTCGTAAGTGATGGCGGCAGGGAGAGATGCTTGTTTGGGCCTCGGCTCTGAGCCGAGAAAGTAGCTTCTCTAGCATCCCACAGTGTGGTGGCCCCGGCTGGACCTTGAAGGTCCTGGACATCAGTTGTGGAGAGTGTGAGTGGGGGGTGCAAAGGCGGGAATCAGTGTTTGGGAGACAAAGGAAGGTTGGCCTCCTTTCAGTCTTGTGACCTGGGAAGGCATCGATATTTTTTCCCCTAGTGGTTTAACAAGAGTTTGGTAAATGTTTGCATTTTCGCTATTATTTGCAATTGCTTTAAATCCTCAGTAGCACTGTAGCACTATCCTCCCGTTGTTCATCGATTTGCTCGAGCGGGCCCAGTAACATCTCCATCGTGAGACTTGTTGTTACTGTGTTTGGCATATCGAATACGTCACGGGGAGCTTGCCAGGCTCTGCTGTGCGGGCGGGATACTCTCGGTAGCTTGTCGGGCTCTCCGAGAGGGGCAGAGAAAACAAACCCGGGTAGACCGGGTAGGGGTAGACCGCATGCAAGGCAAACGCCTTACCCGCTGTGCTATCGCTCAGGCCCTGGTAGTGATCCTTTTTGTTATGCTGAAGCAATAGTGTCTTTTCTTTTTTCCTTTTGAGTCACACCAGCAATGCTCAGGGGTTACTCCTGGCTCTGCATTTAGGAATTACTCCTGGTGGTGCTTGGGGGACCATATGGGATGCTGGGAATCAAACCTTGAAGAGCCCTGTGCTCCTCTTGACATTTTTCCTGCAGAGGAAGACAGAAAGTCAAAACAACATATTTCCCACACCTTTTTGGCCTTCCATTCCCCTTTTCAGAAAAAAAAAGTCAATCAGCAATCCCCCATGCCTTCTCTAATGGTGCAGAAGCACCTCTCAAATGCACCTGAGGCCTTTAGGACACTCCCCGGGTTCACACATTCGGGAAAATCCTGCTTCCGGCTAATAAGGACGGTGCCTTATAAAAAAAGGTTCCAAAAGCATGTTCCCCCAAAGCTTGTTTGTTAGAAAAATATTCCCCCCCCCCTTTCAGCGTGACTAAAGGACGTTGAGTTGATGGGTAAGTTCAGGTTCAGGTATTTAAAAATTCATGAGCTTTACTTTACTCCTATTGTATAAGAATTTGGGGAAATTCCAAAGCAAAACAATGAAGATTAATTTCCTTTGCCAGTTACCTAAAAGCTGTGCCTCTACAGGCAGACGAATAACAGGGCCATTGAAGACTTGTCTCCTGACCCCAGGTGGAGCCCTGCTGAGACAGACAGAGTTATAATTACAGGCTTCCGAAGGCGGGAGAGAATTATCCAGAAGATCCCGGGACTTCCTGTGTGTTTCTTTGGGCTCTACAGCTTTGAAAAGGGAATTTACAGCCAGATTACTACACACACACACACACACACACACACACACTCACACACACACACACACACACTCACACACTCACACATTTATACCGTTCTTAACTGTAAGGGTTTAAAAATCATTTTAAATATAGATGAGAAGATGCTATTGTCAAAGAAATTTTCACTGACTTGGTTTTGGGGCCCTGTACACCCTAGGTGCCAGGGGCTACTCCCAGCTGGCATGGTGCTTGAGCCTTTGCCTTTAGTGGTGCCCAAGGGACCATCTGGTCTTGGGGACTGAACCCAGGACCCCTTGTACAGAGCGTGCATGCCAACCCTTGGAGCTGCCCACCCTGCCATCGTTGGTTTTTATAAGCATCCTTCTTCTGTGTGTTTCCTCTGGCCTTTCCGAAACCCTGCTGAACTTAAAATTTTGAGTGTGTTTTTTTTTTCCAATTTGTCATTTTGTTGTAATTATTTTCTCAAGCCAAAAAAAAAATTTCTTCATCAACAAAACCATGCAGTCTTTTTTTTTAAAACCAGGTATATTATGGTTCATAATGTCCACTATTAAATTCTTTAAGATTTATGATAAAAGAGATAAGGAAAACTTAAATTTCTTCTCATCTTCCTGGCATCAAACATATCAGAAAAAATAAATAATGAAAAATTAAAAGATTGAATTTCAGAAAAATTTTTAAAAGGTTGAATTCAAAAAAATAAAAGGGTTGAATTTCAAATAAAAAAAAGTTGGATTAAGGTTAAATTTCAAGAGAATAAAAAAGAAAAAAAATGAAATTATTTCCATTTCCTTGGGAGTGGAGGCTATGACCCAAGAAGCCAGGCAGGGGCTGGAGCGATAGCACAGCAGGTAGGGCATTTGCCTTGCATGCAGCTGACACAGGTTCGATTCCCAGCATCCCTTATGGTCCCCCAAGCACCGCCAGGAGTAATTCCTGAGTACAGAACCAGGAGTAACCCCTGTGCATTGTCGGATGTGACCCAAAAAGCAAAAAAAAAAAAAAAAAAACAAGAGTCCAAGAAGCAGGCATTTTATGTCTGAGGCCCAGAGCTAAATCCCAGCCCCCCATAAACCCAAAAATGCAGCCTGGTACGGTCCCTACAAAATCATGGGGTGCCGTCCCGTGTGGCACTTAGTGGCTTCTGAGCACTCTAAGCTTCGCGTATTGAGTGTTGTCAATATTTTCTTCACGAACAGGCATCCATAACCACTTCCCTAAATCCAGAGCTAAGAGAGCCCAACAGCTGTTCTTTCTCGCTGAAGGTGGTTGGCGGCAAAGTGAAGAAGCCGGGCAAGCGCGGCCGGAAGCCGGCCAAAATCGACCTGAAGGCCAAGCTGGAGAGGAGCCGGCAGAGTGCCAGGGAGTGCCGGGCCCGGAAGAAGCTCAGGTACCAGTACCTGGAGGAGCTGGTGTCCAGTCGGGAGACGGCCATCTGCGGGCTCAGAGAGGAACTGGAAATGGTAAGTCACGGCAGGGGCAGGTTAGCAGGTGTCTGGCATCTGTGACCCCGCTGTATTGCCTGGCATTGCAGAAATAGGCCAGAAAACGTGAAATACCCATTTCCACAAGCCAGCTGACACGTGGGAGTGAATACGAATGGGTGAGCCAAGACTTAGATGAATGTACATTTTCTTTCACATGGCTGTTGGGAGCAAAACACCCGATACCATCCTGAGGGATTGTTCCCCACGGGAGTAAATGGACCCATCAGGCCGGCACAGCTGGGCCAAGGACTGTTCGAGTGGCCCCTGGCCTCCCCCACACCCTGTGAAATAAATAGTACTACGTGATTCTATCATGTAGTATAATTATGTATTATACGGTGGATATATTGTGTAACACATTTGGCTAACATATTGGCACATGAAAAAAAAATGTTACCTAGCAGTATGCATGGTGTGATCCTGTTTGTATTTAAACATTGATCACACATTCAGATTTCGGGGCATGACTGTTGTCTCGTGGAAGACTATGTAAAGGAGACTTGAAACCTTGTAACTGTGAGCCCGGGAGAAGGAAGACACAATCTTACAAAACTAGGACAGGCCTCCCCAGATTTTCAGATGAGCCTTGCAAGGTCTGAGATATCCACTGTCCCGTGGATATTGGTTGCATACTGAATCTGTGACTTATTTCTCATCTTCTGCGGTGTAAACCACGGAGGATATATGTCATCTTTAAACTGACCTGTCCTTGTATGTCCCCAAAGTCCAGAGAAGCGTGTCCCAGCCAGGAGCCGTGTGACCTGCTGTGGGCTCCCCGAGATAGCCCAAGGAGGGTCACGGGTGAAAATGGCATAAATGGGAAGGGAGGCCACAGCATGAGACAAGCGGGCCAGACAAGAGGGGCTTCTGGGAGGAAGCAGTGTGGGAAGGCCCGGGTTGAGAAAGGGCGAGAACATCTCATCTAGAACACACAGTCTGCTCGCTGGGAGTTTATCTTGTGAATGTTGATGAGCAGCAGAAAGGAAATCGCAAAAGAATGTACTTGGGGGAGTGGAAATAATTAGCAAAAAAAAAAAAAAGAAAAGAAAAAGAGGAGTTCTGATTAGTGGCTATCATGCAGAGAGCCTTTTAGCAGAGGTGGCTTTTGGGTGCTCAGGGCCCCCCCCAAGGGTGAGGCAGGGGGTGGGGGGGGGACACATGGCTTTCAAACACAGGTAGGGCTCTCTTCCCACCTGGGGGGGGTTTACAGGAAGGTACTCACAGGACGAATTGGGGGGCTCTATCCAAAGACAGGGGCTCTGTCTCTGTCCTGGTCCCCAGAGTACCCACTGGACTCTGGCTAGCAGGAGTTTCCTTAACTTGCTCTCCCGTGTTCCAGTACAAGCAGTGGTGCATCGCCATGGACCAAGGGAAGATCCCTTCCGAGATCAAAACTCTGCTCACCCTGGACGAGCCGCCCAAGCCCCAGCAGAGCACGAGCAGGCACACGAAGGCCGGCAAGACAGATGCGCACGGCAGCTGTGAGTGCAGCCCTGGCTCCTGCGAGCCCTCTTCCTGTCTGTCTGTCTGTCGCTCTGTCTGTCTGCTGGGGGCAGGGGGAGGGGGTGTTGGGCCATACCTGACGGTGCTCAGGGCTGACTCCTGGCTCTGTGTTCAGGCCTCAGTCACGGTGGGGCTCTGGGGATCCTCTGGAGTGCCAGTGATAGAACTGGGGCCGGCCGCGTGCACGGCCAACGCTTGAGCCCTTGTCATGTGTCTCCGGCCCGGGGTGCCTTAGAGTGAGTGTTGCTGTCCTTTGTCAAACCTCTCCTGAGAGATGGAAACCAGGGGCTTGAGACAGAGGAGACAAGCTGATCCTCAGTGACACGCATGGCAAGTTTATCCACCAGGCGCTGTGATTGCAGTAAAGTGAAATAGCGTTTGTACGGGAAATGGCATTCAAGATATTGAAATGCATTTCACGTGGGCTCTATAAAGAGCCACGAATACACGCATGCATACAATATCACATTTGAGTAGATTTAAGCCATGAATCAGATTCATTTTTCTAGTTGCTATTAGTAACAATTCCTCTTGTTTGTATTTGTATATGCATCTTACAAAGGCTTGCCTTTCATTCACTTAGAGTTGTCTTCAGTATTCCTCCAGTGTTTGTGTTACGGAATCACACTTCTCTCCATGCTACTGATTCGGGCTCAGGTCCCAGATGTGTGGTCACATCTGCCTTCCCCTGGGCGCCATTCTGACCTGCCCTGTTGAGACGCTTTCTTCCCGCCTCGGGAAGTTCACGTGGGCAGAGAATTCACCGCGCGTTAGGGCCTGAGAGACGGCCCCAAGGATGAAGTGCCGGCCCAGGGTGAATTCCCCTAGCACATATGGTCCCCGAGGAGGCACTGCCAGGGGTAACTGCAGGATGCCCCCCGCCCGCCCCCAGCACTACTGGATGTCACCCGCAAACAAAAGAACAGCAACGGCAGATCCCAAGTATTAAGGATTTTAATGTAACAAGTGAGAAACACTGTTTAGTCACAGCACACCACCCCCTGTCCCACCCTCCCAGATGGTTCATCTTTCTCCGGCCCTGCCTGTGCCGAATCTGCTTTCACTACGTTTACCTGTTCTGGGTGTTTCGTGAAGTGGGCTGAGGCCCGCATGGCTGTCCGCATCTGGGGTCAGGCCTCCGTTTCCTTATGACGCAGCCCACCCTGACACTTTATCTTGCCTGGAGAGTCCAGTCCAGGAGTGGGTGTGAAGGGCTTGATTGACTTTGTCTGCTGGCCAGTGATGGGGCGCTTCTTGACCTCTGCTTTTTGTGGCTGTCTGTGTTATCTTTTTCAAAGAAGTTCTGTTTGAATGTCTTTCCATGTTTTAAACCAGAAGTTCTCAAACTTATTTGCCGCTACCTCCCCCCCCCACCCCAGCTTTAGCAAACACACGGATCAGTGACCCCTGGAAAACTGTGTTCTTCAAGGGGACATATAGGACAAATAGAAATAGAACCACCTCCTGCTGGACCTGAAGCTATTGCTGCCTGCTGGGGTCATTGCAGGCGCCCCTCAAAGTGCACACGGTGGGATCACCCATTTGGGGACCTTCTGTTGTAAAATGGACTATGTTTCATTTTGCTGTTGAAAGTTCAGAGTTTAAGTTATATATTCTGGATATGTTTATCATAATAGTTCTCTCATCCAGTAGGTCACCTTCTCCCTCTTTCTTCCTTTCCCCCCCTCACTCTGTCTCCCGCCTCTGTCTGTCTGTCTGTCTCTCTGTTTTTATTTTTGTTTTTTGCTTTTGCACCATACCCAACAGTGCTCTCCGGGCTTACTCCTGTCTCTCCTCAGGTTCCCTCCTGGTGTGGCTCGGGGGAGCGTACGGGGTTCTGGGTCACTGTGTCCAAGGCAGATGCCCTGCTTGCTGTACTCTCTCTATGACCCCAATGTCTTCATTCTTTTGATAGTATCTTTTGATACACACACACACACACACACACACACACACACACACACACACACGCAAAACTTATACGGAATTGAAACGGTGACTCTTTGCTGACTTTTTTTTAAAAAATAAGATAATGTAAAAAAAAATTCACTATTGATGAGAATGTCATCACATTGAAATTCTGTGGGAAACAATATGATAGTTTCTAAAAAAAGAAAAAGAAACGTATCTTCCTCCCCCCAAAAAATAAATAAAAATAAGATAATGTTTGCCTTGGGCTGGAGCGATAGCACAGCGGGTAGGGCGTTCGCCTTGCACGCAGCCAACATGGCCGACCCAAGTTCGATTCCTCCGCCCCTCTCGGAGAGCCCGGCAAGCTACCGAGAGTATTCGATATGCCAGACACAGTAACAACAAAGTCTCCAATGGAGACGTTACTGGGCCCGCTCGAGCAAATCGACGATCAACGGGAGGGCCTTTACCTTTTACCTTACCTAATGTTTGCCTTAGGCTTAATTAAACTGATGAGGAAAGACAAACCTCTTCATTTTTCTTCCCCTCTGTATTTAAGAATAGCCTCTGTAGAGCCAGAGAGCTAGTACAATTGGTAGGAAATTTGCCCTGCTTGCGGCCGACCCTGGTTCAGCCCCCAGCACCCTGTATGGTCCCTTGAGCCCGCCAGATGTCATCCCTGAGTAGAACCAGTGGTAAGCCTGAGCACTTCCCAGTGTGGTCCCCCCAAAAGACCGAAACAAAAGAATGCCCTGTATATAGGCACAGAGTCAGCGGGCAGGGAATATGCCTTCAGACACGGGTAACTGAACTTCATTGTGCTTCACTGATCTTAAAACCGTTATTGAAGGGGCCAGAGGATAGTACAGCGGGGAGGGCATTTGCCTTGCCCGCGGCTGACCTGGCTTCGATCCCTGGCATCCCACATGGTCCCCCGAGCACTGCCAGGAGTAATTCCTGAGTGCAGAGCCAGGAGTAAGCACTGAGCATCGCCAGGTGTGACCCAAAAAGGGAAAAAAAAAGTTCTCAGAGTCGGGGTAACTCAAAGGCTGGCGTGCCCTCATGTCACCGGCCGTCCCGGGTTCTGGTCTGCAGATGATCCGCGGGGCATCAGCAAGGACAGCCTCACCTTGGGAGCTTTGGTCTGTTTTCAGGGTGAAGAGCTTGGACAGTGACGAGCCGAGGACCCAGGCCCGGCCTCAGATTCCTCTGGACGGCGCACGGCGAGATGGCGCGGCCGGCTCCCTTCCCTGCTGCTCGGCCCCTGCACCCACCGCTCCCAGCAGAACGCGCGCGCGTCCCACCAGCCCACAGAAAACTGACGGCCTTCGGGCTGCTGGTGTGGCCGTGCCACTCGTGGCATTGACTGTTGCAGCGCTTGAAAACGGGGGTAGAAAGAAAGGTGAAGGCTGTGTTTTCACACCCAAACGCCACACTGCTCTCTCGGTTAATTTATATTCCTCCCACGTGACCCATGTGATTGTACGTGTCTGTGCGCGAGGCTGCCTCCCGAGCTCCCAGCCTTCATGGACCTAATCTTTTTTTTTTTCTTTTTTTTTCTTTAGACTTACTTGAGTAATGTTTGTTTTCTGCATGAACCATGATTTCTCCGGTGAGCCATTCCAGCATAAGCTGTGACTATGTGTTTCAAATATATACATTTCTATTTTTATAGTCCATATGATACGCCTGTTTAAAAAAAAAATTTTTTTTTTGCACATGTTAACAGAATCCATCAGGAAAAACCCTGCAGACAGCCTCTAGCTAAAACTTCTGCCGCTGTCTTCCCAAACGATCTCTTAAAAGGCTGCCAAGGGCCTAAGCCCTACTTCCAGAATGATTCGGCAGATTTTATTTTTAAGCAAGAAGTCACCTGTAAGGCATTTCAGGAGCACGCGTCACCTTTTGCCGGCCCAGCGGTCTGGGTTTCTGGCGTACGCCTGCGTCTGTCTGTCTGTCTGTCTGTCTGCAGGCATGCTGAATGTTCGTACACATTTCCTCATGTACTCCACAAGTGGAGAGTTTTTCCCTCCAGAAAATAGGATTGAATCTAGCTGCTGAGATTGAGTTTCTGCCCGGAGAGGTCTGGAACCAAATGAGGCAAAAATTGCTGCTGGGCCTGGGCTGGAGCAATAGCACAGTGGGTAGGGTGTTTGCCTTGCACGCGGCCAACCCAGGTTCGATTCCCAGCATCCCATATGGTCCCCTGAGCACCACCAGGGGTGATTCCTGTGTGCAGAGCCAGGAGTAACCCCTGTGCATCACTGGGTGTGACCCAAAAAGCAAAAAAAAAAAAAAGAAATTGCTGCTGGGCCTGGGCTGGCTGTGCCGTGAGCAGAAGGCCGGGGCCCCTTCCCCAGGGCAGGTGCTGGGCACCCCCATGTGGAAAGGAGGCAGTGGGGTCCACAGGGCAGAGTAGTTCTCTGCAATGCCCCCTGTCACTGCGCCTGCCCCCCCCCCACTCTACATGTGTACTGGCGAGAAACAGAGTCCGCCCCCCCCAGAGGGTCTGTGCCAGGCCCCTTCCTTACCCCCCACCCCCAATCTGCCCTTCTCTCCCCTCTTTCTCGGAGTTGGGTCAGGAGTCGCGTTCTCTGTGGCTGCTCGATTGTCATTGTCTTTTGGGAGGATGAAGCCAAACCTTTGGCACCCAAACAGACCCTGCTCTGTTCCAAACTGGCAGCCTAAGGGGGGGGGGGGGGGCTTGTGGCAGCCAGGAGGTGGGCCGGGAGAGGGACCTCAGTTGCGGGATTAAGTTCTTTCCCCTCCTCTGGGGCCCCGCGCTCGCGTGTGGGTGAAGCACCTCAGCCCGCGTGGGTCCCGGTCTCTCTCCTCGGGCTCGACCGTGTGACTACTGATAAACCACTAGCCCGGCCCGCCAGCCCCTCTGTGTTGGGGTGTCAGGGGTATTTAACGCCTCTCCTGAGGATACAGATACGGAGAGATGAAAGCTTGCGGCTGCTCAGGCCTTCCGAATGTAAGTGTTTTTCTCCAAGACAGTGTTCAAGATTGTACTGGGTATGTTTTTGCCACCGGGTCTCCTCGAATGTCTATTTTTTCACTCTGCAAAACAACCCAAGACTTACTCTGTGTTGCTCTGCCCGGTCCCCTCTGAATCCTGCACACACACACACACACACACACACACACACACACACACACACCCAAGTTGTTTTCAAACCCAACATTCCGAAGTGAACGTGGCTCACCAGTGCGCCGTCTCGGTGCCCGACCGCCAAGGGCTGCTTCTCTGCTCCTCACGTTCTGTGACAAGAGCCCTTCGAGTTCCTCCCCACCCCCGTTATCTCTGTTAGAACAACAGTGACTTTATCCTCAGGCCGAGGAGGTGCAATTCTGAGTGAAATGGAGTTACAGTGGCTTGGAGTTCGTTCCTGAAAGCCATCCGCCCGGCATTTGGGAACAGATCCAGCCAAGAGACAGTTCCTTGGTCTCGAAAAAGGACTGTTGGGAATGCTCTGGGCCTTGTGCTGGCCACATGCTGGGGCCACATGAAGCCTGTTAATGAATGTCCCTGGTTCCAACCGTGGGAGCCTGTCTCTCCCCAGGCCACTAGCTCTCACAGGCCCGGGAACAGCAGGCCGTGGGCCGCGAACCCTTGGATCCGGCTGTTTCCCTCACTCTTTTGAGTAAACAGCAATTTTTTTTTTTGTTTTTCCTTCTTTCTCCCCCAAAGAAAGGCAAGGGGGGAAATAGAGTTGTGTATTTAGACTGCCGCATTGTGTTACTAATTTAGCACAGGCCTGCTGTATATTAGAGAACTGAATCTAATAAAGAATAAGTTTGACCCAGTCAGGTTTTAGGATATAATTGATATAATTTTAGGATAGAATTTTGAAGTCGTTCTCCTATTTTATCTCAGATCTTTAGGTACCTAAATCAGAACCTGTCTGACTGCAGCAAATGCCTATCACTTTTACCAGCTCGTTGACAGTATTTAGCAGTATCATCATCTAGCATTTTACTTATCATCTTTGAATTATGATAGAATTGATTTGGCTCACTACAAAAAGTACAGCTTTAAACTGGACTTCCTTTAGTTCAAATGAGGGCAAAGAAAATCGAAAACCAGAGCGCTATATTTCACAAGAAATCAGTTGCATATTATCAGTGACATACTTAGTTTTCAAAGAGAGGAAGATGACCAAGAACCCACATCGCATTTGGGGGGCATCGAAGGAATTTTTCTTTATGTGAAGAGCGTTGTATAATTATATTTTTATGAAAATAAAAGATCTTCACCAGAGAGGTTTCCGGTTGTCTGTTTCATGTCTCTGAGCTGGGGGGTTGGGGGGAGTGAGAGACTGGGCAGGGGTCTTCCCGAGTAGAGGTCCTCATCCTGTTAAAAAAATGAGGGGCTGGAGTGATAGCACAGCGGATAGGGCGTTTGTCTTGCATGCAGCCAACACGGCCAACACAGGTTCGATTCCCAGCACCCCTGAGCGCCGCCAGGAGCAATTCCTGAGTGCATGAGCCAGGAGTAACCCCTGAGCATCGCTGGGTGTGAACCAAAAACGAAAACCCCCCCCAAAAAAAAACGGGGTTGGGGGCATGGTGGAGGATAATTTACACTTATTGGTAGGCAATTAGGGGTTCTAAGAAACTGATTCCTAGGGGCTGGAGCGATAGCCCAGCAGGTAGGGGCAGGTAGGGCGTTTGCCTTGCATGAGGCTGACAGGGTTAGATTCCCAGCATCCCATATGGTCCCCCGAGCACTGCCAGGAATAATTTCTGAGTACAGAGCCAGGAGTAACCCCTGAGCATTGCTGGGTTTGACCCAAAAAGAAAAAAACGGAAACTGATTCCTAAATTTACTTAGCTGGAATCCTACTCTGTGGCCGTGTGGCAATCTTTTTAGCTACGCCATTATTTATTTACTTATTTGTTTTGCTTTTTGGGTCACACCCGGGGTTACTTCCAGCTCTGCACTCAGGAGTTACTCCTGGTGGTGCTCAGGGGACCATATGGGATGCTGGGAATTGAACCCGGGTTGGCCGCGTGCAAGGCAAACGCCCTACTCGCTATGCTATCGCTCTAGCCCCATACGTCATTATTTTTATCCCTGTAATAGTACAGTTTGTTGCACTCTCCCTTTCCATTTTCTCTCCTTCCCCACCCCCAACTTTTCCTTTTCAAAGCCAAATAGCCTTCTAGTAATTAGGCTAATTTGAAGAACAATTAGTGTCCCTGCTGGCCGCAGTCCCGAGGAGGCTCGGGTTGGCTCTAGGTAATTTGGTTTTCTCCTTTCCCGAGGCAGCCGGCATCTCTCGGGGCTCACGACCCAGCAGGGGCGTCCTGGGAGCTGCAGAGAGTCACCCCCAGGGGAGGACAGGGCGCTTCCCTGCAGGCCCCCGTCAGCGGTGGCTCCCTCCTTCGTTCCTGGGGGCCTGTGAAGAGGGTGAGAGCAGGGGGCTGCAGACCCAGAGCCCCATGGGGTGGGCGGCGGCTTCGGATGGGCAGAGAGAAGTGTGGTGAGGGCTCAAAGGACACCTTGGAATCTGGAGAGGAAACCAGGGCGGCCAGGGAGTGGGCTGCAGAGAGTGCCCGGCCCAGCCAGTCCTAGGGGGCCCCCTTCACCCCAGGCCTGTTGAAAACAGCGACTGACACCTCCCCCCACACAAACACGCATGGTTTTCTGGGGCGCTTCGGCACCTCCTGGCTTCCTGCATGGTTTTCTCGGGGTGCTCCAGCACCTCTTGGCTTCCTGAAAACTCGCCCCAGACTCATAGAGGGGGTGGTCAAGGGTCCCATCTGCTTGGGACCATCGACTCCACATGCCCCCAGTGGGGAACTGCAGCCTGTGCACTGTTTTGACTCTACAGTTCGGAACTACATGGCGGGAACCTCTCCTGGAACCTAGCAGAACCTAGCCAGCCTGTCCGATGTCAGCGCCAGCTGCCAGCGGGGTCTGACTCCTGCCGCACTCACACTTGGTGTGGCCAGCTCCCAGCTCAGCACCAAACACCCCGGCAGGCCACAGTGCAAGTCCTTGGCGACTTGTGTGTGTGTGTGTGTGTGTGTGTGTGTGTGTGTGGGCGGGGGGGGGTGTCAGAGCCCCTGCCCACGCCTTTATTTTTTTAACCGTTTGATTTTGGGGCCACACCTGACTGTGCTCAGGGCTCACACCTGACTCTGCGCTCTGTGCTCAGGGGTCATGCCTGGTGTGGTTCTGGGACCAGATGGAGCACTAGGGACCGAGCTGGGGTAAGTCACCTGCATGGCAAGCACCTGGCCCGCTGCCCTCCCTCTCTGACCCCCACTACACCTTTTCAAACCTTCATTTCTGTGGCTGCAGAATCAGGTCACAGTTTGGCCAGCTTCTTGAATCCACTAAGGTGCCATCAAGGTGATGTAGGCAGGTAGACAGGGAAGGCCCCCTAGGCCCCCTCCCGAGGCAATGACAAAAGCCAGCCCTGCCGAAAATAGGAAAACAGGAACTAAGGCTTAATGAAACCCTTACCTGGCTCCAGCAACAGACCCAAAGAAGCTCCTGCAGGAACAAAAGGCCAGGAAAGGAATTTCAAAGAAGACCGTCGCCACTCCCATCCTCCCTGGTAGCCTCCTTAGCAACGGACTTTTACCTGGGAAGAAGCCCCACGTGGGGGCAGGTTGGAGGAACCCTATAAAGGCCACCTTGAACAAAGGAAGCGCGCGCATTTGCTGCCCAAGCCCATGTGCTGCTTGCGCCCACGTGGCCGAACACATGTGGTTCCCGAGCACGTGCGTCGCCCGCATCTCCCCTCTTGAGATGTGTACTTTCATGCTTTCGTGTCTAACTTTACTCTCTCTCTCTCTCTCTCTCTCTCCTCTCCCCCCTCCCCCTCCACACCGAAAAATCCTCCAAATAAAATCTATTTGTTTCACTGCTTGTCTACTCCTGGAATTCCTTTCTGTGAAGCGAGACAAGAACCCAGTAACCCTGGTCCCGGTGGCAGAGGCAGGTGGGGAGAAAGTGACCGTCTGTCTCTTACCCGCTTCACATAAGTCACCCGTGGGGCCCACCGACATCAAAGGTACCAGCCAGGACTGGTCTCACCCGAAGGCTCAGCTGTGGCAAGGTCATGTGGTGGCATTTCATCTCCCCCTGCCCCCCCCCCCGGGGGGGACCATGTGCGGGTAGACAGGGAAGGCCCCCTCCCTAGGCAATGGCCAAAGCCAGCCCTGCAGAAAATAGGAAAAACCGGAACTAAGGCCTGATAAGACCCTCACCGATCTACAGCAACAGACCCAGGGAAGCTCCTGCAGAAACAAAAGGCTAGGAAGGGAATTGCAAAGACCATCACTTTTCCTAACCCCCTGGTAACCTCCTTAGCAACGGGCCCACCTAGGGACAAGTTGGAGAAACCCTATGAAGGCCACCTTGAACAAAGGAAGGGGCACATTTGCTGCCTGAGCCCTTGTGCTGCTTGCGCCCATGTGGGAGAGCACAAGTGTCGCCCGCATCTCCCCTCTTGAGATGTGGACTTCAGTGCTTTCGTGTCTAATGGTAGTGATGTAGGCAGGTAGATAGGGAAAGGCTCTCTGCAATGAAACAAAGTCTCATAGAAGAATTCTAGGACCAACCCACCCTGTGGAGACAGAGAATAAGGACTTGATAAGACCATCCCCAGACCCTGAAGATATGGACCTCCTCCCCATGAAATTCCTCCTTTCCGAGAACCCCCTTTCAATCCGGTTGACTCCAGCGACCCAGCCCCAAGGAGATTCCAGGACATTCCAAGTCAGATGACTCTCGAACCCGCTTTCTATCCGGTTGACTCCAGCGACACAGCCCCAAGGAGATTCCAGAACATTCTGAGTCAGAAGGATCTATAAGAACCAGCTCGAGAGCCCACTTGGCGCTCTCTCCACCCTCGGAGAAGCCCGCGTTCCCTCTGGACGCGTTTCTCTCTCTCTCTCTTACTCTCTATTCCCCCGCTTATCTGCTTATCCCTTCCTCTCCCTCTCCAAAAGCCTCCAAATAAAACCTGTTACTTCACTGCTCGTCTACTCCTGAAATTCTTTTCTGCGAGCGAGACAAGAACCCCAGAAACCTCGGGTAAGGCTTGGGACTGGTCTCTCCTTTCCTGCAAAGAGCAAATTCTCGCCCCAGCTTGAGTCCGTGGCTCCCCGAGCAATCGGGTGGCGGGGATTAACTCCCGTGCCGAGAAGATCAAGCGGACTTCAGGTGTGGCTTGACGGCCACCTCGTGGGGCTGGCGGGGCTCAGGCCCGTGCCGAGCAGGTGCTCACTGCAGACTTTACCGGTCCTAGCCTACCCAGGGTTCCGGGTGGCAGAGGCGGGTGGGGAGAAAGTGGCCGTCTTTCTCCTCCCCACTTCACATAAGTCACCCGTGGGGCCCACCGACATCAGTAGGATGTGTGTAGGGGCTCTCTCCACCCTTGGAGAAGCCTGTGTTCTCTCTTGGGTACGTTACTCTCTCACTCTCTCCCCCTCCACACCTTGCAAATCCTCCAAATAAAATCTATTTATTTCACTGCTTGTCTACTCCTGAAATTCCTTTCTGCGAGGCGAGACAAGAACCCAGTAACCCTGGGTCCCGGGTGGCAGGAGCGGTTGGGGAGAAAGTGACCGTCTTTCTCCTCCCCACTTCACATAAGTCACCCGTGGGGCCCACCGACATCACTTCCAGGCCCACTTCGACCCCCAAACTGAACCTGGGCTTCTCAGGCTTCTCGGCTTGCATCCTGAGGCCCAGGAAGAAGCTTCTAGCAAACAGAGACTGCCTTCTGTGACCTGTGCATGTGCATGCTGGTCCACACCCCTCCTCTCCAGCCCACGCTCAAGGGCAGCGCATGTGGAGGGCAGGAGGCAGGCAGCAGGGATGCTCCTGTTATGACCTGAGGTGGGGGAGGGTTGGGCCTGACTCCGGCTCTGTGCTCAGGGATCAGTCCTAGCAGTGCTGGGGGGACCCTGCGTGGCATTGGGGATAGAGCCCAGCTTGGCTATGTACAAGGCAAGCATCTTGCCCACTAGCCCATTTCTCCAGCCCATTATATTAGCACCCAAGCCCCACCAGGAGTAATTCCCGAGCTCAGAGCCAGGAGTAACTCCCTGAGCATCACTGGTGTGGCCAAAAGCACTGTCACTGTCACTGTCCTCCCATTGTTCATCGGTTTGCTCGAGCGGGCCCAGTAACCTCTCCATTGGAGACTTTGTTCACAAAAAAATTACAAATAGGGCCATAGGGCATATTTGTCATATGCTGCAGTTCACTGATACGTGTGCTCAGAGCCCAGGAGCGTC